GCGTGGTATTTACAGCCGAAGTCGATCGAGAGTGGACGAGAAAGTTCGACGTCGAGACACGTTCCGTTAGCCGGCGTTCGTCGACGTAATTACGTGGGAAATCGGATTAATCGTAACGACAACGCGAAAGAAAACACGAAGCTGCTGTCCGTCTCTCCCCCTTCTCCCCCTTTTCGCACAGTTCTATCTCTATTTCTGCTCTTTCCTCTCTTCCCCTCCCCCTTTTCTCTCCTTGTTTTCCTCGCTCCTAGCTCGATCTCCCGCCGAGTCCCCCCTCCCAATACCACCTCGCCACGCCGGCGTCCGTACTTTTCTATTTATTTGCATTTGCAGGCAAGTCGGTTAAGTACCGTGATCTATATCCTGTCTGGGGATAGAATTCCATGGTCCGTGAACGAAAAACGACCAAGAAATCGTTTCCGGGACGCCCTTCGCCTCGCTCGTTAGCCGGAGAACGTGGAAAATGGGACGCCTCCTCTTTTCTTTTTTCCCCCCTTTTTTTCCTTTCTCTTTTTTTCTTCCTTCCCTTCCCCAACCCGCTTCCTCTCTTTATCAAGAATATTATATCGAAGGATAGCGCGAGAAGTCGCACGCTGAGGGGACGCAACGGTTTCTCTGTAATAACAGTTTTTAATTACACCAACTTATACTCGAGAGACTTGGATTCGGGTAATACGATTCCACTCGTACCTACCTTCGGAGAGGCTTCAATCCAACGCGCGGACTCGTGGCCTAAAAACGCCGGTCTCAACTATTCAATTAAACCAACGACCCTGTGTTAAGGGGATGACATTTGCGTGCACATTTCTCCACTACGCGGTATCCCCTCAAGACTCTGCCAACTACGTACACGTGGTCAAGTTACGCCGCACTTTAATTATCCCGATGATAAAACAGCGTGGAATATCACGAAGCAGCACCACGAGCTCTAATCTAATCGGTTAATTTCAAACTGCGCGACGGCTTCTTCGAGTCCCTCGACTCGATTTATTTTCTCTTTTCGCACGATATCCTCCAAAAACGCGATCGCCTGCATCTCGAGTGTTTCGCATTCCTCCCATTTTCGAGTTCGAGAAAGCGATACGATGCTTTCTTTGATCAACGATGAACGAAAGATCACGCGCACGAATCGAGACTTGTTTCCTCTACGGTGACTGTCGACGAAATAGAACGACGCAAAATCGAAACAAGCGTACGACGCACGTTCGAAGGAGAAACTTTGTTTATTATTTTTCCTCGCGCTATACGTTCGTCTTTGTTTCGATACTTTACAATCCCTCCTTCCCGTTTTCACGAATGTAAACTGTATCTCGCGGGGACAATAAAGCGTTATCGCTCGCGATAATGGAGGATCGTTTAATATATATTTCTTTGTGCCCCTTCCCGCTTCAACGCGCTTCATCCTCGTCCGTTTGAACAGGTTCGAGTTAAGGGGAACTTGTTATGACACGGCCGTTTGAATTTCAAAAAACGTTTCGTCTCTATGTATCCGCGCGCCAAGGAAATCCCTTTACGCGTCGAGTAATTTAGCTTCGAGTAAACAAGGAGGCGCGCGTCGACTCCCATTCGGGAAGAGATTTCACCGCGATTCCGCTCTCGTTCCCGATTTTGCCCGGGGAAAATTGCATTGAATTGGTATAAAATCGACCCCCTCTCCCTCCCAAAATAATGATCGATACATTTAATAAGAGCGCGGCGAACCTCTCCTTCTCGATAATAATTCCAGCTCGCTGAACGATCAAAAATCACAATTATTCAATTATCTTTCTTTCGCGATTAATATCTGCGCGCGATGCATTTAACAGATTGGATACAATTTCTTCTCTCCCCTCAGCGTCGCAACGAGTTTCCTTCAACCGACCTATCCTCCCGAATCCTCGTATCAGGCGAAAAACATCCATCTCGTGTTTTCATCTTTCGTGAGCACCTTTTTTGCGACTGTATCGCTCGCAATCCACGGGATTCCCCTCTCCGCAGCTGCAATTCCTTCCAAGTTTTTACGAGAGGATCCGAGTCACCACCTATTTCTCGCGCTCTGCGTACATCCCTCTCGTACATCCTTACCCCTTGGCCCAGCGATCTCGTCCGGTATCTCCCCCCGCGCCTCTCCACGAAAATCGACGAAATGCCGGAAGACGGAAACCCGGTTGTAAACGGAGGCAGGAGGAGGAGGAGGAGGAACGCGTTTAACTCGAAGTTAAAGGAGAATATGGATATTCGCGAGAAGTACGGTTCTCGAACGAGGATCTCGGATATTCGACTTCGAGATGTTGGAACAAGAAATCGAAAATTGTAGGATTTTGATTGATTATAAGGTAACAGGTTTATCAGTCTAGATTATTATCGTGTTTCGTTTTTTCTTTATAGATTATTCGCCTGGTTTTTAGTTTTTAAATAGTAGATAATTGTTAGATAGCGTCTTCTCAACGTTGTTATTAATTCTAACGTTGAAAAAAAGCAAAAATGAATCATCCTCAGAGCCTCGATCTATTCGAACTGTTCGTTTAAGTTCGATTATTAACCAATTATGCCTTCTTCTACCTTCCTTCCCTGAACAAGGAGAGTGAACAATCTCGTTGCTCCTGGCTTCGTGAAAGTTTCTCACAAATCAATATAGAAGAAGATGTAAGACAGAAAAAAACGATGGAACGATTTTTAATCGATATTAAAAAGTTAATTTCTCGATCGAATCTCGGCGCAACGGAATTCGATATCGTTGCACGAAATGCAAGGAAGCGGGTATACCGGTCGTTTGATGATTAGCAGGGGCGGGGGATGGGGGCCGGCTTGATGGGGTGTACCGAAGTTATAATGCAGCCGATGAAATTACGGCAAGGTCCCGGGGTAATTTCCATAGTAACTTCCGGCCAGGAATCGATGCAGAATGTCGGATGATCAAAGTTGAAAACGGTGGCGGAGAGGAGCCCCCGTTGATCTTCGCCGTTGATCGCCGCCTCGCCGGCGAAAATCGGTGGGAAAGAGGATCGAACGATCCTCTGGATCGCGCACGTACGATTGGGAAGGGACGGAGAGTTTCACTCCGTGAGATGATGAAAATTCGACAGAGAGTACACGGAACGGTAGACAGGGGTCAACTTGCCCTTTATTCACGCGCGATACTCGTTGATTTATCAGAGATTGGAGATGAAATAGTTTTTTCCAAGATCTCGCGATCGAACCAATCCCCTTTCTCTCTCTCTCTCTTTCTCTCTGTCCCGCTTTTTCCCGTTCAATGGAAAACCACTTGCTGATTTAATGGA